AACTGTGTATAAACTATTCAAATTATCGTTAAAAACTGAGATTACGCAACACAAAAAATAACCCTATATCAGGCCCTGACTATTGGGCTCTAGCACATGTGCCCTTCCAGGTCAAAGCTGTTCTCCCCAGAGAAGCCTCTGCCTCCTTCCTTTATACCAGAAGCCCCTCCTACAAGACAAACCAAAGTTAATTGACAAACAATTAAACACCATTATGTTGTCTCAACAGTCAAACACATCTCTGGCTACAGCAATACACAACACATCAACCATAAAACCAGAAATGAAATGTAACATGCTAAACAAAGGCTTCTAAAAACAGCAACCTTAAGGTACTCCAGTACACCCCTCTGTACTGGCTCACACTTGGACCATTCCAGGTCTTCCCCCCTATAAATGACTCCACACTCCATCATTTCTTGTTTGCCCCTTCGGCCCAGATCCCTGCTTGAGGATGAGAACGGGTGAATCAAACATACAAACATTTGGATGACCTTGGGTAAATCTCAGCTAAGGTTAGCTGAGCATGCTAAGACCAATACTACTGCTGGCTTAAATGAAGGCATGGTGTACCTCCATGACAAGCACCTTATCACCACAGCAAATTCCTCACTTGTGTAAAACAGTACTTGGTAATAAAGCTCCTTCTGATTAAAAAAAACAGTTGACAAACCTGCTTGTCTTCATCTCTGCACTGAGTTGTTTGCAGTGATGGATTATTAGTCTTCTTAGTTTCGGCCCAACCATCTTCCTCCCCGTCTGTCTAAAGAAGTGTTTATTGGTTTATCAAATGAAACTGGTAAGATTCAATTCTCACGTTTAACAAGATATTTTTCAAGATTATGATTGTTAACGTGTTAAAATAAAAACATGAGAATAATAATATGTATATTATATAGTATTATATTGCTGTGTCCGCGTTATGTAGCCACCTGTCCTTTTCATCTACAAAGCCTTAAAAAATCTGGCCATTCGCTACCTCGCCGACTTCTTCCCCCGCCACACCTCCACTCATCGCCTCAGGTCTGTAGACGCAGCAACACTAAAACTCATCAGGGCAAAGTGCTGGACATGGGGTGTCTTTTCCAATGCTGCAACCTCCCTCGCCACATCCGACAGGCTAGCACCATGCCATCTTTAAAACAGGCCCTCAAAACCCCAGCTAATTTCCTTCCCCTCTCTGCCCTACTTTCATCTTACCCTCTGTAAAGCGTCTTTGAGTACTTAGAAAATATATATGAATCAAATTTATTATTATATGGGGCTAACGGTTGCACAGCCCTGGCTCTACAATTAATTTAATTTAATATTCAAACTAACAACAGTACCAACAGTCTGCATTTGACTGTCAAAGGCAAGGCAAGGCAAGTTTATTTGTATAGCAAAATTTAACAACAAGGTAATTCAAAGTGCTTTACATAAAACATAAAAACAACAGGGAAATATGTAAAAGTTTAAAATCAACATAAAATATAATAAAAGTTACAGTGTTACAATCAGGGTTAAAAGAGTTAAATGGAAAATAATAAAAAGCTAAAAAGACCAACTTCTCTTATTTCATGTAAAAGTAAAAAGAGAACACACCTGTGCGAAATCGTAATTTAATATAGGAAACATTAAAAGAAATTATATTTTTAAACAATCTGATTGGCGTACTGTGGCAGGTTAGTGAGTGTTTGCTTCTTTATCGTTACATGAGGAAGACCAACAGTAGTTGAAATAGTTCCAGTCACATCCACATAAGTTACTTTACTACTACTAGTTAGTAAATATTTTTGTACTCCTACTCAAGTAGTTATTTTGATGACCACTTTTACTTCTACAAAAAGTAACCATACTTTCACTGGAACATAGTTTTTGGCCACTCCACCCTCCGAGAGTAATAGTTATAAAAAGTACTGGTAGAGTTGATGATGTTATCAGAGATGATGTTATTTGTCTTTCAGACCAACATTTCCTTTGTAACAAAAATGAAACTGGATCATTTGCATGCCAGTGATGCAGTGGAGGTGCTGCTGCAGATGAAAAACCAGGCACAGTTTTTGTTGCAAAGCAATGCAGCGTCGTGTGACAAGGCCCTGGGGTGATTAATCCGAATGCTTCAAAGCATTCGGATTTTACTTTGTAGCGTGAACATTGTGTTTTTACTGTTTATCCCATGATCGTTGTGACAAAAGATACCGTGACTGCGATACATTTCCAGATTGTAAAACCTCTGTGCAGTGTTTTTGGTAAGCATAGATCACATATCTCACAGATCTAATTTCTCTAGACTTCCTGTCTAACCTGTAGCTGAAACAAACATCACACACCAACACAATTTCTCTGAAGATGTGATGTTCAGGGCATGTTGCTTCAAGTGCTGGTGAGACATGGTTACACAAGGTTAGTTTGAACGGATCTGTGAGTTTGAAGGCTTGTCGTCAGACACCAGAACGCTGCTGAGGCTTATAATAATGTAAGTCTGGAAAATTTTTAAAGATAAGTTATTATCATGGTGGTACTATGGTGGTATTATTATTATTATTATTATTATATTATTATTATTATTATTATTATTATATGTTTTTTGCAGCAAAGATTGAGCCAGATTCAACTCATGTCAATAAAATTCCCTGCGATGTTTTGTCACATGACTGTGTGTTGGATGCGTTATTCCACGCAGGGCTAAAGTGTGTGAACGCGTTTCTGGTTGCTTGTAAGGTCATTTAGTTTTGGTTTGCTTGGGGGTTTTGCCCTAGCAGGTGTTCAAGAGACATAATTAAAGGAATTCTTTAAATCAAGACTGTCAGAAACAGGTGATAGCTCAGGAAATTTGTATGATGTATAAGTGCAAATTCATGGGCATGTTCCCAGGGTGGAATTCAATTTGTACACTAAATTAAATTAATACATTTCCAATAAATTAATTCCAATAAAATCCGTTATTATGTTATCAGTAAGAGTATTTTACTCATTGTACAACAGTTCAACCGAACATGCAAAAGTCTAAAACCCTGTTTTACAGGCAAGCATGCAACTCAACAAAAATGAAGAATCAAGTTACAAAGAACTGAATTATTAAATATTTACTCGGGTTTAAATGGAGCAGTTCTTTTGAAGAAATCCCTCTCGAAGTCAACAGCTGCTCATAAACTCAGTAAACAAACCTTGTCTCTAGTAAAGCTGCTTCTTTATATATATAAATGTTGCTTCAACTTTATGGTTTGTCAATATATCTTAAAGTTCTTTGCCACACCTGTTTTGAGATAAACATGTGAGCGGCAGACATTTATTGAACCCCCTGAACGAGGCAGAGTGACTCACGTAAGGAGGATAAAGTTGAACCTATGACTGATTTGGTCTTACCTTTTCCTTCCTTCCATGTTGTAAGTGAAGTTCAATACAACAGCAAAGGGTGTGTCCTCAGTACAGTTTATTAAATTTACGCTTACACACAAATTAAACATGGTGAGTTTTTGAAGGCTGATTTATAGGAGAATTATAATTCTTGGCATTGAAAAATCCTTTAGACAGTCATGTAGGGGGATACACTGTACAAAAACTCTATTTTTTACAGTAGAAAATACTACTATAATACTTTTATGGTGGCTTAAGTCAAATTTATGAAGGGTTGCACTACATCTGACCTCAGTATTTCTAAATTCCCTTTAAATCATATCATACGTAGCTCAATAGCTGTTTACGAGGCATTTCTTTTATTCCAAAATATTACCCCTCAAGTATATTTATAGAAAGTAATGACATACACCCTTCTGACTCTGAATCTTGCTTCGCCTTTGGTAAACTCTTGAAGAAAGACTGTTCCTTACATCATTATTGCTTCACGAACACAGGAGAACTGCTGACAACAGCAGGACGACTCCTTCAGTGACGTGATTTACTGAACCTATGAACAATGTTTACAGCGAACTCACAGTGCTTGCTTGCTTTTGGTTTTTATCAACGTTTACTGTGGTGCCTTCTTCTTGGTTCAGTTTAATGTTTGATGTGAACTTAAAACTGTGTGACCATCCAGTTTACATTGATAATAGTGGCAGATTTACCGCTTAAAATTCTTGGTAATGTTTGAAACAATGGGTCGATGGTATCAGACACAGGAAGATAAGATGTCTCATGTCAAGGCTTCCATTGCTTATCAGCTGAAATGAGTCAACGGCATGTTTCTATCAACTAGCTAGCTTATTAAGCTAACTTTAGCTTCATGAGTCACTTTGAAAAGCGAGCTGCGGCTGACTTTTTCATAGTTAGTGTGAAGTATTAAAAGAAAACCAAATACAAAGATCGGACTGTGGTTTCATTCTAACACAACCCTGTTTAGCTGCTCAGCTAACACACAACAAGTGAGAGGTCATTTATGCTCTATTGTTTGTATTTTCACTTTTATCAGAGCGGCTAACGTTAGCCTAAAGCCTGTTAGCAGATGTGGTGATGTTGGTATGTTTACAGTAAGAAAGTACGGGTGGCAAAATGATAAATATTACCATTACCTGACACTGAAAGTAAAAATGAAGTCAAACCAGACCTGCCAGGCTGGCCAAGCTTTTCCTCCTTTGCCTGTACAAAAATGTCAAAGTTTATATACAAAGGACCAATATAAAGAAGTAAATGTAATTTAACAATGCTGCAGAACAATCAACAACACTATAAAGCAGAAGTACATGTGAAATACATTATACAGTAATTCTACCCCTTGTCTCACTAAACTAAAAATGTCCTCTGTTTCATCACAATTTTTGAAGTTATTTGATCCAAGCCATTCTAAGTTGATCTAATTTTTTGTTATTTAAAATAAGCTGTTTTATTGTGTTCAATTTATGTATATTTGCATTAAGGTGAGGCTGAAGATAAGAGGAATGGGCAATTTTAGAGAGAAAGACTTTTATAGTTTTTGGTTAAAGTAGTAAAAAGCTAGATAAGTATGTTTGGGGTTAGATGGCCCCTCCCGGTCGCTGTGCCTCTTCCTGGTTGATTGTTTTTAAGTTAGATGTTATTTAGACACTGGATAGAATCTTTAGCCAACTAGCAACTTAAATATCAGAAAGTCTGAGGTAAAATTCTGAGATTATAAACTCACATATGCTCACATTTCTAACTGACTTTCTGCTAATGAAGTTCCAGCAACCTCACTATTTAAAAGTCTGAGAAATAAATTATAGGAAAGGTAATAACATAAGGCAAGGCAAGTTTATTTCTACAACATAGGTCTATAATCCCCTGGCTTTTAACCAGCTACTTGTAGTTTATTTTATCTGTAATTTGCACCTGTTAAAGTGATCTCACACTGTAGAGGGGGAATCTTACCCCATGTGGAAAATGCCTTTTCCCTAAAAATTACATTTGATTAAATACAAATTAGTCAACTGTAGCTATTTATTTTATTTTATAATATGTTGCCCTAAGCATGGCCTTCTTAAAGATACAAAAAAAACCCTATAAAATGTTCTTTAATATGTCAGAAAATAGACATTGAGCTTAGTCTAACCCCACCAGCTGGGGAAAATTTGATTAAATTCAAATTAATCTGTCAACTGTAGGTATTTATTTTACTTTATATGATGTTTCCCTAAGCAAGGTCATCTCCAAGATACAAAAAAACCCTATAAAATCTTAAAATATTGTGTCAGCAAATAGATATTGAGCTTAAGGGAGGGGCGTCTTACCCCACACTATCCTATTAATAATAAAAGGAAGTTTGTAAGCATTTGATACTTTGCTCACTTTGTTTCGTGGTGCATGACTGCTTGTTGTCTTTCACCATGTTTCAATTAATCCCCTCTTAACCAACCAATCATTAATAACAAAATAATAATATCTAAAACTGACAGGGTCCACTCTGCACAACAAACATACTTTCTGATCTGAATACCTTACCTTACCATTCATTATGAGAAACACACACAGCAACAATGCCACCAGCACAAGAAAACATAAATATATAGAATTATACAACTGTGAACACCTGAATGTTATGATACAACCTGTCAAATTCCATGGAATTAGTAAACCATTTGTTGTTGGCTTTCACACAGAAACAGAAACAGGTGTCATTTGTGTGATAAAGGAGTAACAGCTCAGCTAAGAGGTCCCAAAGCCTCTGGAGGATTTCAAGCTTTTCATTGGCTTTGAGGAGAAACAACACTTGCAAACCAAGGGGGTGGTGCAAACAAAGGTGTGGCTCCTCTGCAGGTAAAAAAAGGACAGTGCCATGGTTACTTGTTAGACCCAGGAACTCACTAGTCAAGTGTAGCGACACGGTGCGTTAGAGACATGGCAAGGTGTTTAAACAGTGTAAGTTATCTTAATGTTCTTTGCTGCTCTAGTTTGTTGTAACAGACAGATAAGAGTCACACTTAACTGCAATTGAATGCCAATCCTGTCATGAAATTTTCAGTGGAGCAACACTCTGTAACTTTTTGTCTGCGACATATCTAAACAAGACGACTGAGGAGGGTCAACATGCTGGAAAATGGCTTTGCAAAGAGAGGAAAAAGGTATGTAAGCTTTTTTTTAAATTTCAGTTTCTGTAATCATTAAGTATTTCGTTCTAACAAGGAAGTAGAAAAGAAGAAGGAAGACAGTGTTAATGTTAGTTGTGGAAGATTTCTGAAAAAGATGTAAAGCTGAAACATGAGAGGGTTTTATCTGTGAAACAATTCTTGTGAGAGACAGTTCCCAGCTTGTGCCGGTGAGGAGCATTTTATTTATAACTGTTAATTTATTAATTATTCATTAACACTAGTATTTTATCAAATACTTTGCTATTGTTTAATTTAAGAGCAAAAACATAACAGGACCGTTTTCGTTCCTTTTCTCAGCCAGTTTCCATGTGTTATCTCTCGTTACAGCCAGGGAATGGTGGATGGAGGGAAGATTGCAGAAAGCAGGAGGTGGTTCAGTTGGTCGCGGCGCCACTGCTTCTTCTTCTTGCTAGTGTTGGGAGCAGTTTTATTTCTTTATAACACAAACATTAATGACATGGCGTCCAACTGGAACCCAAAATTGTGGCTGCAATACAATGCATCAAAATGGTGGAGTTCATTTAACAGTCAGACACAAAATTTAGCCTCCTCCAGCACTCCTGGACCTGCATCAGAACCGGTCTCTGCTTCTGGGTTTAAAGCTGGGACCAACTCATCTGCATTTTCTCAAACTGGGAAAATCCCACCAACAAAGGTGACAAAAGCCACTACAACTACTTCGGTGGCAACACAAAAAGAACCTGTGCCACCAGCACCGGTTCCTTATGTGTCTCCGGGGCCGTACTTAGTGGAATACCCGTATAAGTACCACTTTGTTATAAATGAGCCTAAGCGATGTGAGCAGAAGAAGCCCTACGTGGTTCTGATGGTTCCTGTGGCGCCCCACAACAAGGCCCATCGTGACATCATCCGCAGCACCTGGGGAGGTGAAAGCCTGGTGCTGGACAAAGTGGTGACGCTGTTCTTCCTGCTGGGGCTGCACATTGGAGAGGGAGCAGAGCAGCTCCAAAAGGAGCTGCTGCAGGAGAGCACTGAACATCAAGACCTGATCCAGAGCAACTTCCTGGACTGCTACAAGAACCTGACCATCAAAACCATGGTGATGCTGGAGTGGCTGGACACCCACTGCTCCAGCGCCTCTTACGCCATGAAGATTGATTCAGACATGTTTCTAAATGTGGCCAAGCTCATAAACATGTTGTTAGACGCTCCGAAGACAAACTACATGAGCGGACTGGTGGCGAGAGGAGGTGTAGTCCTGAGAGATCGAAACTCTAAGTGGTACGTACCTGAGGAGATTTACCCTGGGTCTGTGTACCCACGTTATGCTTTGGGTCTGGGCTACGTTTTGTCTCTAGACCTCCCTAAAAAGCTTGTGGAGGCATCCAGACATATTAAAGCTATTTACATTGAGGACGTGTATTTGGGGTTGTGTATGCAGCACCTGGGTATCCCTCCCACCGACCCCCCAGACTGGGGTTATTTTCAGGTCTTTCCTGTGCAGTACAGTCGCTGTGCTTACTCCAAGCTAATAGCAACCACTACACATGAACACAGTGATCGAGTGTGGGCTTGGAAAGACTTTAAAAAACCAGGTCCATACTGCTGATCTGTAAAACAAAAAAACAAAATTACTGTATGATGCAGCTAAAGAAGGATCTTAGAGTAATATATTAATAACCAGGACTGAATTTCTCAGCTCCTGTTACCTGTTGATTGATTCTACTTTTTCTGTGTTTAAAATCCTAAATTTGCTGTATAAAAAACACCTTTTCACCTCCCCTCTCAGATTTAAAAGCACACAACAGAGGAGTTTTCGCCCTCTCTGTCCTCGTACATACATGAAAGAATGAAGGAAGTATTACAGAGAGTGTTGAAACAGTCTGTTCAAAGTGATTAACAGGCTGTTCGGTAAAATCAGTGATGTCATAGTTAATAATTGGCTGAAATTAATCTTAAAGTGTCTCATCAGACATATGAGACATACATGTTTCCGCATCACGCAAACACTGTAACTGGAACTACATTGAGTCATTTATTTGTGCAGATTCTTCTCACTCTTGTGTAAAAGACTTGTTGCAACATGTCACAGCGTTCAGGGAAGACGTGCATTACTGCGCTTCATGACTGCAGGGTAGAGGCAGGACTGGACAAAATGGGAAAACATACTTTGCCCTGATGGGATCCGAACCGTGTGTCCTCTCTGTTTAGTTTGTAAACGTTTTTTCACAGTTTTAACTGAAGTAACAGTTACACAGTAACAGTGATGATGTGGGCTGCAGCCGTGACAGGGACATTCATGCAGCACTGCACAAAGAACAACTTCACTGTGAGACCAAGGTTGTTTCATACATCCGGTGCGTCACACATCTAAAGCTGGGTGTAAAAATGAATGCAGGGGGGAAATTATTGACTAGTTTTAGGTGAAATTGAGGGCCCTTTTTGGCCCCTTAAATAAAAACCCACTAGTACAGTGAGTTGTTTACAATATCCAGCCATAAGGCAATCATTTATTATTTATTTTTGTATTAACAGCAACACTTTCTAATAGGGATACAAAACATGTGCTTAAATAATTCTACTAATAGTGTAGGAGGCATTACTTTGTAATGCTTCACAGTAATGTAATTACTTTTTTTTTGTAACAAGTAGTGTAAGTAATTCAGAAATTACATTACTGTTACTAATCCCAGCAGTTCCAGTAAAGATCTGCTAATTAGCTTGTTTGCTTTCTGAATTTGAGAGAGTTAAAACCAGTTTGGTATCAGTCAAACTGGTCTGGGAAAAGCCCCCAGTTTCACTCTCTCATGTATTAGCTTACATTTTGGGTCACAAAGGTTACCAGTAGCAGTTTCTCTAAAATATAATTTACTGCTGATGTTTGAAAAACCCACAAGGGTGTTTTAAAAACACTGTTGATCTGAAGGTATTTCCAAGATCCTCCAGAGCTCTTAAGATAAGATTTTTTATTGATCCCCCGAAGGGGAAATTCAAACTGACACAGCAGCCGATTTCCAATGTCTAACTATCTGGATGAAAAAATATTGATGATTAAAAAAATCATGAAAGAAATCGTGCCGCCTACCTGAATAGCAAACAGAGTGAATTGTTGTTGCACACAATTAAGAAATAATGAAGTCACTATGAGTCATTAATCAATGCTTAATGAATTTTAACTTACAATCACTTACATTTATTTGCCAAAAATAACACGGGGTGTCATGTAGAAACGGTGCGTACGACTAAAACAGGGCTGGAAATGTGCGAACGCCACTTCCCACCAAACTCTGAGCCATGCTTAGGCTATACCAAATGGCCACTTACATGGCAGAAGGATGAGATGGTTTGAAATGGATACTACTGTGTAAAATAAATCTAAAATATTACCTCTTTGTATTATAGGCCAAAAAGACTTAATATTATTTGAAATAATTATATGGGTTCATTTGTAAAACAGACCAAAAGCAAACACCCGTTTGATTGATTTTCCCTTAAGTGCACATCAAAAACATTATTTAAGATCATTTGCAGCGCACACACAAAAAGAACCACGAGTTAGGAAAATTAAACACAATCTGAGATCTATTGCTGCAAAAGAACGCATCAAATTGGGAGTTTAATTGGGAATCATATTAATTAATACTTCCATGCAGTGCAGTTTATTCTCATAAATAAGGTGAACAGGAGGAAAAATTACATTTAAATGAGGCCTCTGTCGAGTAAATACAAGTTCATAGTTTCTTGTTATCACATGTTCGTAACCCTGTGGCAGCCTATTTGAGCCAAACGCTGCGCGCCAGCGTCTGAATGTGATGCGTTGCTTGTAAAAACACGGCATGAAAAAAAAAAATATTACCACACTATTATGTAGAAAGTAAATCTTTCAGTGTACCAGTGTAAAACATAAAGCATAAAGTAATTTTCCTTTTAACTCACGGGCCGGCTCGATGAGTGAGTGGAGTGTTTGTGTACATAAATGTTTAAACACAAGTGGAATATATGTGCAACGTGTCCCCTTCCACCACCGTCACCACTCAGGAGGGATGCACCTTCCTTTGTGTGAGCCTCCATATGCAACCTTTAGTAGTATTTCCTATGTGCAGTTTTATAAATGAGACCCCCGGACTCCAGATACACAGAAAAGTCACAGTCACAAGCAAGAGTGTAAAAAATAATGTAATGATTACGTTTCTTGCTGTTGACATGAGAGTGTAGCACAGACATGTTTAAACGTGTGTCAACAGTTCATTTTAACGGTTCATAAAATCTGTAGAGCTTAACAAGAGGTCGTCTCGTGCTGCAGCATGCAGATGTTTGCCTCTGACAGCCAGTTTATAAGAAAGAGCTTTTTTTATTTCTATGAGAACTGGTTCTGTTCTGCTGGATCAAATACAACAGACTGACAAATACGTTGCAGCTGCTACATCAAGTTAATGTATGAATTAACTGCAGAATAACATTCATTAACTGCCATTAACTAATCACAAACTCTTCTGTTCTTAATGGTTGATTCATGGATTAAATCATCATGGGTCGTGCATGTTTTGTACCCTTATTATACAGTAAAGTGGAAAAAAAGGGGTGGAGAAAAAACCTCTATATGCTGCGTCCTATTACAAATCAATTAATCCTTATAGTGACAAACAATGATTGTTTTATTCCGCTGTCCATAATGTCGTTTTAAGTTTGAGCTGTTACAACTACGACAACAAAGAAATCAATTGATTCGTGTGTAGCGAATTGATGAATGTGGATATTCTTGTTCTTCTTTCTGGACAGTTTGTTGCACTCAGATGAAAAGTGAGGGATGTAAATGCTGGAAAGTGTCTCCCTAAGATTGTTGTAATGCAGAGACACCAAGTGGACATTTTGTACACTGCAACTAAATAATGTCACATGTAAACTCACAGTGTTTTGTTTAGTCATTCGTGTGTCATACATGACAAATAAATGGTTCATCTTGTAGTTTATTTATAAGCAATGTTACGCTAATGTCACTGCACGTATATAAGGTTGTTAACAGGCAAGAGTCAAGGTGTTTGCTAATGTACAGAATATTAAAAGTCAACACTTTTTAAAAAACTTCTGTGTTTGGATGTGTATAATTTCTGCCACTGCTGTTAACCCCGGAAGCATCTTTTTTTGGGGGGGGGGGTCAAGCAAAAAAATGTCAAAGTACTAATACCACACTGTAAAAATGTTTCAAGTATAAGTATGAAAGTATAACTAGGAATTGTACTTAAAGTAGTAAAAGTAAAAGGACTCTATGCAGAAAGAAAAAGGTCCTGTGACTCTTATACTATTACACCATCAGATTATTACTCCTCATGCTTTAGCCTAGGGTGACCAGAAGTCCCGAAACATCCGGGGCAGTCCCGAATTACGAGCAGTTTGTGTGTTAATGTTCATTGACATTTAACGTACCAGTGGCCACGCCCCCCCCCCCGCCACACACACACACACCAATTTTACCCATTCCCATCTGGTCATCCTAATTACTAACCTTTAGCCTAATGTAAAAACAGGATTTTTCTTCTGTAGTTGTGGAGGGGAAGCTCATTTTTAACAATTTTGTGTCAGACTGCAACTAATGATTATTTTCATTATGGATTAATCTGCTGATTATTTTCTCCATTAATCAAGTTTTTGAAATTCTGAAAATATTGAGAAATCCTGTCACAGTTAGGCAGAGCCCAAAATTTAAAATTTAAATAATTAAAAGGAACAGCAGCAGATCTTCACATTTGTGAAGGTGTAAACAATTTACTTTAATGATTAGAGGCTGCTGTCAGTCAGTAAAGTCACAGCCATACTGTGGGACATTAATTGGTGCTTTTATTTATTTATTTATTTATTATTATTATTATTATTATTATTATTAAAGCAGCAAAACAAAAAATCTGTAGTTATAAACGTGACATGTCTGTTTCTCTATAGGAAACAGAATCGAACTTTTAGATTCTGAAATAATTTAGTCGCTCTGATGGAGCTCAGGATTGATCATGAGGACGACTGCTTTTCTCTAGTTTCACTGTGTGAACCTGGACTGTGTGTGAGACCTTTGGATGTGAAGAACAACACAGAATTAACATTAGATGCATTTACAATGAAGTTAGGCTGCTGTGCCTCCTGCGTAAATACGCACAGTGTCTTTTATTACCATCGGAGTAATGCGCCCCTAAAATAAAATAAAAACTGTGAAATCACGCGCCGTTGATTTTATACCAGTTTTTTTTTTTTTTTTGGTCAAGTTTGCAATCGCTTTCTGCTGTCCCAACAATATGCCTGACCACACCTCATTTTAAGACCAACCATGGCCTCACAGATGGGCGACAATACATATGCTATTTAAATAACGTGCGCGCTGGGCGTGAAAATGACACCTGCGTCGGTTGGAAACTAGCAATGACACTTGAGCTGCACTTTGCGCCCACAGGTGTCATATACACTGGGGACTCTGGGGAAATGTCCCCACCACTTTTAAAATCGCTGATTTTTCCCCACCACTTTTTGAAAGCATTTGTTAAAAATGTTCTGAAAATAGTTTGCACCAAAAAAGGTAACTAACAAATGTAAATGCTTTGAGGAAAGTTTACTTGGACAATAAGTAAGCATGCAATCCAACTTAAAGAAGAAGAAGAAGAAGAAACAAGTGTGTATTGTCCAAAAAAAGTAACTTAAGCTAAAAAAACCCCCAAGCAGCTGATTACTACATTATGTTACTCCCACATGTTCTATTTTTATATTGATGAATTGTCATTTGCCAGATATAAATGGGGACATTTCCACCATAAATTGTCTCCAGAATGCAGGACATTAAGTCATTAAGTGTTTAATGCTCCCATTTTATGGGGGAGGGGGAATCCCCAGCTCATATATTTCAACATTTCCTGTCTCTTAAAAATAGTGTTAAAAATCATGCGTTGTCAACTTCTCCTGATCCAAGTGCTCCCACCACTTTTCAACACAAAGTGACACACTTGTTTGAGCTGCTTTGCGTCAGGTGCAAGATAGGGCCCAATATGTTTTGTGTGTAAAAATCCTAATTTGTACATAACTCGTTACTAAAGCTGTCAGATAAATGTAGTGACGAAAAAAGTACATTTCCCTCTGAGATGTGGTGGAGTAGAAGTAAAAAAGGGCATGAAAAGAAAGTACTCCTGTGAAATCCAGGTACAGGTAGACTTTAGTACTGTCCCACATTGGATTCAAGTCACACTCAGTGGTGGAGCAAGTATTTAGGTCCTTTACTTTAGTAAAAATGCTAATACCACACTGTAAAAAAAACTCTGTTAGAAGTACTCAAAGCAGTAAACTGTCCCCTGTGACATGTTATTACATTAATATTGCTCATGCATTCACGTAAAAACAGGATTTTATTGCTGTTGCAGCACATTTTCAACCAATATGTAACAGACTGCAACTAATAATTAATTTCATTATGGATTAACCTGCTGATTATTTTTTCTATAATTCAATTGATTGATTGTTTGGTTTGTAATGATAGTGAGAAATGCCGTCACAATCACCCAGAGCCCAAAGTGACACCTCAGAAATCAAACAGACAAACAAACAGGCTGCAGAACCTGAGAATCACCATGTCTTCAGGTTTTCTTCAGTATCAGAGTATAGATGTCTGTACATCCATGGGCACCGTGCAAAACGGAAGTGCTGATAGCTAATTCGGCACACTTTTAATGGTGCCAACTTGCCAAACTGTGAACAAAGATAGGGTAAAAGAAATGATGCATAAATTTGAACCCACCGCTAAAAGCTCACTGAAGTTAGAGCAGGATTCTCCTCCAAGACAAAGAATAATAAAATACTAAATTGACATATTATACATTTTTGGGAGATTTTCTATCTGTCTTATAAAATAAGTATGTATATGTGGCTTTAATTTATGGATCACATTAATTTCTGATTGTGGTTTTACATGGCACAGAATTTAATGCAGCTGCGTCGCTACATTTTAGATGCAGGTATAGAGAAATACAGATACAGTACAAAAGACATAACAGGACAAATGACTCAAAGAAACACTTTTATTTTTGGTAAATAGTGTTTAAAAAAGTGCGTAGTTAAAAATGAAATAGAACATGGACAGGGTTGAACAAATGTTTCAGATGAGAGGAGCAGCAACATAGGAGTCTATTGTTCATGCTTTCACAATTTACACAGGACAAAATAATAAGTCTAAATTCAACTTCTTCATGTGAACAGTGAAGGGGTACATCATGACAAATCTGAGAGGCACTTAACATTCATTTGTCTGATGTTAGTGGCTTTATCCCTGCAGAGTTTACGCCTCAGAAACCAGACTTACAAAACAAAAATGCTCCATCAATACATCACAAATGCCCGGTGATACAGTGCAATCTAATAATTAATCTAAACTAGCACCATTTATCCAGTAAAGATCAACATTCAGGGTCTGCCAAATGAGTTTTTAAGCACACACAGCTTAATTCAATGCCCCCCTCACAGTGATCAAATCTGCATTACCTTTGATCACGATTAAAAATACAATATAAATAAAAAAATATATAAAATATGTATATTGAAAACAAAAAAAAACACTGTAGGAATCTTCACATTTAGCTTACTTCACATGCACATAACATAACTTTAACAAGTACTCAATGAGAAGTTTGATGCTTTACAGTGTTGGGTCAGTGTGTTTTAAAGATTAATTTAACCTGTATATAGCTTGTGCATAATGTGCATGTGCCTAATACTGTCCCATTTTAAAGGGAATAGTTTGACATTTTGAGAAATATGCTTATTCACTTGCCAAGAGTAAGATGAGAAGATCAATAACACCTGTGTTCATCAGTTAAATTTGAACAGCCGGGGGAGCTTAACTTAGATTAGCATGGAGAGTGGAAACATTTCCATTTTATGCTACTTTATACTTCTACTCCACTACATATCAGAAAGAAATATAAATTTATCAGTTACACCTGGTTAATTTTCAAAAAATATTTTGCATGTAAAATATATTATAAATAACATTTCAGATTTCTATGAGTGGTTAGCAGCATATTTCCCTTCTAAACTTTGCACATGGTTTTATTTGAGTAATTGTTTTAAAATGATCCAATATTTCACACAAAATTCAAACATTAGAAAAATCCAAAAAATCCAAAATTTGTGTATCAGAGTTTAGTTTTTTTCTTCTTTCCTTTCCCAATTAATCATCTCACGACCCTTCAGATTGTGACAAGTTCTTCTTACACATTGATGCATCAGTATTAGCAATCTAATATTGTCATCATACTGTATATTTTCTTTTTTAAAGTAGGATTCTGAAAGCAAGTAAGTTACCTTTAGAAAGAGCCAGGCTGTTTCCCCCTTTTTATGCTAAACTAAGCTAGCTGACTGCCTGCATTAGCATAATTTTTAGCATACAGACACGAGAGTGGTATCAATCTTCTTATCTAACTCTCGACATGAAAGCAAATAACAGCATTTCCCAAAATGGGAAAAGTGGAACTATTCTTTTACCTATTCACTTCTAGCTGATAGCCGTTGTGGCATAAAATGAACATATAATGATACTTAGCTTTTGTGATATTTCACATTGATTGGCAAGTGCAAACTGCTACTCTTAATATAATATATATAATACTATAATATAGTGTAGTGAAGACCATTTTGTTGCTGTTGTATAAAAGCTTTTGGTTTATCTTAGTAAAAAACTTAAAACTAGCATTACTGCTGTGATCAATACAGTCATATAATGCAGAGAAGGGTATTGCTTGAGTGTACTTCTTACTATGCATATTCTGTTAGTATCTATTACAAAATTAGATATTAGAGGTTAAACCCATCATGGTTTTAATAAAGTTAATAGTGACAATGCAAACATGGTAATCTTTAGCAGGTATTGAGAGCCCAAGTCCCTTCTTTCCGCCTCCTTATTTTAGACAAAATATGTACAGTAGTCAATGAGAGATAACATTTAGTTTTGTGTGAAACCATTAATTGAACTACATCTTTATCTTGCACAATATATGCTGGCATCATGCTTATGCTGTTATGCTAAGCTAATGCTTATTGCTTGGTTGCTTCTTGCTAAGTAACTTAGCTATGTTCCATGCATAAATGTTTCTCACCTGATGTGTTTAATCGAACAACTCATTCTTTGACGTTAGCTTCAGCGATGTTAGCTTCAGTCATTGAGAGAAAACGTTATGACCTCACATATTCAACTTTTGGGTTTGTGGTCTTTGTATTTTCACAGTCTTGTGCTTCAAGAGTTTTATGTGTAATTATATTTTAAATTGGTGCTAATTAGCTGAGTTTCAGGAGTGGGACCACACATCAAGCGCGTCATCGCCAGCATTTCCATAAATACCCACACGTCCTAAGTCCTCCCCTTCGCCCACATATCCTGCATCCCTTCCTCCCTCCCCTTCGCCCTCGTATCCTGCATCCCTTCCTCCCTCCCCTTCGCCCTCGTATCCTGCATCCCTCCCTCCCACCCCTTTCTCTGTCCTGCCTCCTGATCTCCTTCCTCCTCTCCATATTTATAGGGGTCCGTTGTGCCCGGGTGCTACGGCGGATTTCCCTATCGTAGCTTCCCCACAACGCTTTCTAATGTCTATTCAGCTACTGCAAGCTTCATACATCTTCTGTTTGTTACTCAATAAATCATTTAATCATACCTGTTGATCGTGGTCCTTGCTTGTGAAATGTGTAATTCAGGGTACATTTCAAATAGGATCAAAAAATTTGTGGTTTCTCACCGTTGACTACCATAAATATATTTTCCCCCGGAAGGGGAGGGAGGCTCTTAATAAAGTTTGCCTAGTTTACAATTTTAGTTTAGCCTGTTAGCATGCTGACACATGTGAATTAGCACTAAACACAAAGTATAGCTGAGGATGATCAGGAATTTGATCATAAACCAAAGGACAAATTAAAATTTTGACCTGATGATGGTGCTAGATGAAAAGTCTGCAGATAACCAAAGTAATTGCAATTCACCCTGAGGGGAATATAAATGTTTGAACCAAATTCCATGGCAATACATCCAGCAGTTGTTTAGAAATGTTACTGAAAAGCAAAAATGTCAACCTGCTGGTGTAAAAGCCAATGGATCACTAAAATCAGTAGGATTCATCCTCTGGGGATCAAAGTGGTGGACTGACTGACATTGCTTGCCCAGGAGTCACGCTAGTCAGCGTAATGGATCACAGAAATAATATTTATCCCTAAATAGATTTTTTTGTTACGGTTAACTTGATAAATAAAGAGAAAAAAATAAAGCTCAGCACCGATGTGAGCATGTGATGATGTTGCGGTCATTTATGGTACTTGGGCACAACACAGATGCAGGCCACAGCGACTTTCATATAATAATGTTTCACCGCATATTTTTTTGGTTCACCTGAGCACTGAATCTTCTTCAGGACCTTCACCGAAGCATACACAGGCACAGAGTTGTAGTCATTATCTTCACGATGGTTGATGATGCAGCCTCGGCAAAGGCATTTTGCAACGACGATCTCATGTGGGATCCTGTCCAGGTCTTGGTCTAGGCTAAAAGAAACAGACAGAACAGACATCAGCAACTCCCATGCCAATCAATAAAGACGCTCTGGACTACTGTTTCTTAAAGCTGTGTATATAATAATTTAATCTTCTGTGATACGTGCTGCAGGGCACATTTCCTCTAAATCATGATAAAGCACTGAACTTTTAATTTATATTATTTACAAGTCTTATAATCACATTTCCATTAAGCTTGGGCAATCTTTTCTATTTTAATATCATATATTCCAGTACTTGAGGTACAAAAGAATTGGTGCCAGTATTTTCCAACCCCCCATACTATCCTCAAGCTCATGGAGAAACTAGTATAAATTACTGTTAGTAAATATAACATTAAATACAAAGTATGTATTATATCACGTTAGTATTATATTAATATATTTACAGGTCACACATTATTTGGACAGTCTGCCTACAGATATTCAAACAGTTTAATAGTTGAGATTCAACAATTTAACCGTTTCACAAATAGCCGTGTTAACAGCATTGAAAATGCACTGAACAAAATTATAAATGCAACACTTTTGTTTTTGCCCCCATTCATCATGAGCTTAAAGCTAATACTTTCTCTATGTACACGAAAGGCCTATTTCTCTCAAATATTATTCACAAATCTGTCAGAATCTGTGTTAGTGAGCACTTCTCCTTTGCCCACCTGACAGGTGTGGCATATCAAGATGCTGATCAGACAGCATGGGTATTGCACAGGTGAGCTTTAAGCTGGCCACAATAAAAGGCCACTTGAAAATGTGCCCAAGGACCCACATCACAAATTAGACCACGGAACCCCTTCTCATCGATCTTTTGGCTTTAGGTGTTTCTTTACAGAAAATGACTAAAACCCATGACCACAACAGTCATGTAGTTAGAGTCATACAGTCAATAGTCAGACATTCAGTGTCAGGGAGACGTTACAGGAGTGTGAAATCGAGGACAAAAAGACAATGAAGCAGCTTCTACACATGGGTCATCAAACACTACTTTTGACTTTCTGCCCTGTCAGTAGCACAACGCACAGAGCCTCACCTTCTGCACTCAGGTTTCTGCTTCCACTTAATCTACTCTGCTGCATTGAATTCTGTCATTGTGTTACTTATGGATGGAATAATAGTGAAAATACATTTTTATTCCCCTGGAACCCCCTCAAGGACCCCACTGTATCCCAAATTATTAAAGCTACCACAGTAGCTGACAAAACAATCTAGCAATGAGAGACTGAAAAACTGGGGTTATACTGCTACATGATGAGCTTGTTGGCAGGTATAAGTAATCAGCAGATACCGGGCGCCACGCCCACAACTCACCTACACAGACACAGACAGACCGGGGAAGGGAAAACCACAGGTGTGACATAATATCTAAACAAAACAGGAAACAAAACGCTGGGTTTTCATATTTCCATTTCAGGAAGTTGGCCACCAGAGAGGCCAACGTGAAGGAAGCCAATAATCGTTTATTATAAGCTAATTTTTTTTCATCTTCAGTAACTCTTTACTGAATGAAATGATGAACAATCCTGAGAATATTTGTGTTTTATATTCTGTAATATTGTGTATTTCTGCATTGATATTGTTGATGTGTTTTATATGGGAATGTAATGTTTTGAGAAGACTGGTTTAGTTGAGTCTGTTTCTTAGTTTGTTACATGTGGTTTGATTTGGTCGGCTTTTCTGAAGTGAAAGGTTTGGATTAATTATCTTTTATCATAAAAACCTGCACATATCTGGCACCTGCCCAGGGTATTAAAAGGGGTCGATCCCTCTATTTTAAACAACTATAGGCCTTTTTCCAAACTGTGTGTTTTAGCCAAGCTCCTTGAACCCTTGGTTGGTGAGCAGCTAAAGGAATCTTTAAATTCAAATGATGTCTTATCCCCTTTCAATCTGGTTTTAGGAAACAACACAGCACCATATCTGCAGCATTGAAAGTGATAAATGATATTGTTGGGACACTGGATAGCAAGAAAATGTCCGCTGCACTGTTCATAGATCTTTCAAAAGCTTTTGATACAGTTGATCACTGCATTCTGGCACTTAGACAACTGAGCATTGGCATTCAGTAGATTGGTTTGCAAATTATCTGTCAGGTAGAACCCAAAGTGTTCAGATGGCTGGCTCTTTCTCTTCCTTTTTGCCCATTTCCAAGGGGATTCCTCAAAGCTCAGTACTTGGGCCCATATTGTTTTCAATTTATACAAACAATGTTTGTGATTATCTATCGAATGCTGTGTATCATTTTTATGCTGATGATACTGTTATTTACTGTACTGCATCACAAGCCCTTGATCTTTTGCAGTCTGCTTTCAATATTGTTCAGAACCGTTTAAAACAGCTTAAGTTGGTCTTAAATGCAGAAAAGACCAAAGCAACTTCCAGTTAATACTTCAAGCATCTCAACTTTTGAAGGAAATGAAAGTGAGTTGGTTAACAGTTCTAAATATTTAGGTATAATCATGGATTGTAAACTGTGTTTCAGAACTCATATTAGCAACCTGGTTTCTAAGCTCAAGACAAAGCTTGGCTTTCTCTACAGATCAAAATCATGCTTATCCATTCACGCTAGAAAATACCTGGTGACGGCCACTTTTCTTCCCATATTAAATTATATATATATTTATGAATGCTTCTGCCCAATGCCTACAGAAATTGGATGTTGTGTATCATTGTGCATTGCGTGTTTTCACTGGCTGTAATTATAGGACATATCATTGTACCCTTTACTATAAAGCTAAATGGCCCTCTCTTTATTCAAGAAGGTACACTCACTAGCTGTGTTTCATCTGTAAGGCACTTCTTGGACTAGCACCTACCTATTTGAGTATCTTTTTAACAAGTACTCACGGCCATTATGGATTACATTCAAAGGACGTCCTACACTTGTTGGTCCCCCGTGTCCGAACAGAATTAGGTAAAAAAGCCTTCATGTTTGCTGCAGCTTCTGCTTGGAACCCTCTTCAGAACTCGGTGAAACTGACTGGCCTTATTTTCTTATAGACAGTTTGTTTCAACTCTGAAGGATATGGAGCAGGTGAACATTGGTCAGTGTTGCTGTTTATAAAGTTGTATTCTAACTTATTCAACACAGAGGCTTGTGTTATATGTATGTGTACTTGATGTTTTTTATATGTTGGAAACTGTTCTTTGTGTTCTTATATGCTGCGTCTTGGCCAGGTCTCTCTTGCAAAAGAGATTTTAATCTCAATGAGACTCACCTGGTTAAATAAAGGTTAAATAAAATAATAAAATACATCCCTTTGCTCTGGGTCAGACGCCCGAAGCTACCCTAGGCAGCAGGTCTCTGCATATGTGTTATAGTACTTCTCTGTTTGTTCTCTTTTAATAATTTAATAAATTCTTCAGAGACAATGGCTGGTTGTTACTCAACTATTTGCTTAATCCCTCACCAGGAAGATACAATTTACTCAACACTCGTTCTGTGCAAAAATTCATTCTTATAATTCATGAATGAGCAATCGAAAGACTAGCCGGCAGATTAATCTGTAATGAAAACAATCATTAATGCAGCCATAATTACTACTTTTACTTACAGTAAGTAAAGGAAGGAAAGGAATGAGGAAAACAGCTTAGTAAATTCACTCAAGTATTATTACTATTTTGAGGTACTTTACTTAAAAATGTCCATTTTCATCTGATTTATACTTATATTTCCACTAAATATCACAGGGAAATATTGTACTTTTTACTGCTGTTTATATAAGATAAGATCAACCTACCCAGCAGATAAAATATACTTTTACTTTTGGTACTGTAAGTATATTTTGATGCTGTTACTTTTGTGTGGGTTACTAGAGTCTCCAAAAGTAGAATGGGAGCCAGAGCGTTCAGCTACCAAGCTCCTCTCCTGTGGAGCCAGGTTAGAGAGATATATAAGTGACATTCCATCAAACTAATTTTGACAGCTACTTCCGGCTACTTCCGGTCCCCTCTCTGTGGTATCAGGTCAGTAGTGTGAATAGTACCCTCTGGATTTCTGTTTTTTATAGAAGTAAGAAAAAAAAACAAATACGAACCCCCTCAGAGCTTTGCTGCGTGGGGAGTCTGATGGTCAGCTAATACCCAGAGGGGCAGTAGTCGATTTTACTCACACTAGATGTCTCAGGAAGAGTTGATCTTTTGTCCAGCTAATAGTCTGGACTGAAAGGAATCAAATTTAGTCATGCCGGTGTCTCAGTAAGTTTGGTTTAACCAAGAAGAGATGATCTTTTGTCCAGCTAATACCCAGAGGGGCAGTAGTTGACTTTACTCACACCAGATGTCTCAGCAAGCCTGATGCTTCTCAGGTCTTCACTCTCTAAGTCTGCTCTCCGTCTGATAAAAATAGATTCCTGTTTCGAAAACAAACTCTGTCTGATAAAACCAGACTGCGTTTTTAACAACTGGAGTCTGGGGTTATAGATAACTCTATTCCATCGTCTACAAGATTACCTGAAGATGCTAATGACAGCTCAGGGACACAGTAGTGGATGTCTCACAGTGGGAATCGTACCCGGGTCTCCTACACCAAAGACAAAGCATCTTATCTATGCTCCATCACCACCCCCATTGTATTTTCACAACTAGAATAAAGGTTTCACAAATCTGAAACTGTGTTTAAAAAACTTTAGCCTCTCTTGACAGCCCTAGGCATAGTGGATTTTAATCTGGACCTGGTTTAATGTGGTCTAGTATACATAAACATATAAATCATCCTTATTTATTTTTTTCTTCTTTTTGTGAATATTTACAAATAGAATAAAATGTTTCTCAGTGTTTAAAAAATACTCTCTGGGACACATTAGTCCAGATTTGACAGCAGGCTTCGTGATTTTTGATTTGGACCTTGGTCTAATGTGGTCTGCGTGTAACAAAACAACGTAAAAATCATCCTTTTTGTAAATTTTAACAAGTAGAATAAAGGTTTCACATATCGGAAAACAGTGTTTTAAAGAAACTTTATCCTCTCTGGAATAATGTAGTCCGGATTTGACAGCATAGCCTAGTGCTGTTGTTTTTTTAATCTGGACCCTGGTCTAATGTGGTCTGCATGTAACAAAACAACATACGAATCTTCCTTTTAGCATTTTCACAAATAGAATAAAAGCTTTCAGAAATCTGAAACACTGTTTTAGCCTCTCTGGAATAATGTAGTCCGGGTTTGATAGCTCTAGGGACAGCACCGTGATTTTCTGAGCGCTTTTGTCCCCTTGCGGTCTCCGTAGCTGCACGCTGTGTTACGTACCTGTACGTCCACGGGGACAGGGAGCGTTTATTCATTTCGCCGCGGTGTGTTTGTTTGGCAAACTGCGCGCAGTCCAGCGCGTCCGGCTCCAAAACCGGGTTTTTAGAAATAGCCAGATTGTCCCAGTGTTTCCTCCGAAACTTGTCAGTACGATTATTCAACTTGTCCTCGCTGATGCACCCGGACCTCGCAGCAGCAGCAGCAGCAGCAGAAGAAGGCTGGTCACTGAAGATCAGCAGCAAGCCGAAGGAGATCTATTAACATTAAAAAAAAAAACAATATTGTAAAACAACTCCTTAAAAAGCAACTCAAGCATGAAACTGAAAGTGCGCTCCCTCCGGCTTACCATTTGCAGACTGACCCATGCCATCCTGAAGCCGGGCAGTTTTCACTGTGACCAGCTGCTCCATCGGACCCGGTATATATACAGTATCCATCTTCAGAACCTGCTGCTGGAAACCCCTAAATCTCAGTATTTCCTTTAACTGAATCAGAGGGAGGGAGAACGAAATATCAGCATCTGACCCCGCCCGCCCGCGCTGGGCGGTGTGCTTAATCTGAGCATCACTGACATCAAAACATCTAAACTTAACCAAAAACATTAAATATCAGGTCCCCTGACTGTGACTATTTACACAAGTAGGGGTAGCTTACTGGACTTCCAAATTAAAGAAGTAGTAGTACAGATTGGAGGTAGCCTGCTTTTATGTTTGATGGCACCTGCACTCCAGTCATCTCAGAGGAAAATATTGTTATGATTTGTACACTCAGAACATAGGAAGAGTTTATAAAATACGATGTTTAGTACAGCTGAAATTAATAGCCGATTAATCAATTCGTAGAAAATTAAATGACGATAGTTTAAGTAACTTTTCATATAATGTTGAGGTTTGGACACAACAAGCTTTGTGACGGTGTCCGGATGGCCTCTGGGTAACTGTGTCTTTACAAACCAACCAACCAGCAGATTGATCCAGAATGAAAATAATCACTAGTGCAGCCCAAAAGAAAATAGTTCTACAGCAGTAAAATCCTGCTTTTGCATGAATACACAAGGAATAATAATCTAAAGTGATAAAAATATAATAGTACAACAGGCACAGGGGGCATTTTACTACAAGTAACATTTTAAATACAGGACTTTTACTTGTTCCAGAGTATTTGTTATACAGTGGGGTGTTAATACTTTTACTTAAGTAAAGATCTGAATTCTTCCTCCACCGCTGTCTCGCACGCAATAAGTCAGCTATTAAGTAGTAAAGTGCAGTTGGCTGCTTATTTTATATAAGAAAGGTGCTAAAGTTTATTATTATTTCTGACATTATCCTCAGCGATTCTGTGTTTATTTGGTAATTTATTTATTTAACAGCACACGGAGGTAATTCAAAGTGAATTACGGGGCAAAGAATGACATTTAAACAATAAGTAATAACCAGAATGAAATCAGTTAAGATGGGATTTTAAAAATGTTATATAATGAGTGGAAATTTGAAAAAAAATAAAATATACTAATGAATAGATAAGTACAGTTGGAGTACAGTCACAAGTTGTAGGTTGCAGCTCATCATTTATTGAATTTATATATTATGCATCAGTCCAGCGACTGACTCTTCAAAGGGTCCCTGTGCTGCGGAAGACTTCTTGCCTCGTGCCTGTGCAAAAGACGCCACTTCCCTGTGGCTCCAAGGACGACAGACCTGTGGCACTGACCTCCCACATTCAGCTGGTCAGACTTCTACCTGGACCCGCTCCATCCCCGACAGGGAGTTGAGGACGCCATCATCTTCCTGCTCAACCGCCCACCTGGCTGAGCCGGCGAGCACTGTGAGGGTCATGTTTTTTTACTTCTCCGGTGCATTCAACACAATCCAGC